ATAAAAAAGGATGAGTTTGTGTCCTTTGTAGGGACATGGATGCAGCTGGAAACCATCATTCTTAGCAAACTATCACAAGAACAGAAAACCAAACACCGCATGTTCTCACTCATAGGTGGGAACTGAACAATGAGATCACTTGGATTCGGGAAGGGGAACATCACACACCGGGGCCTATCATGGGGAGGGGGGAGGGGGGAGGGATTGCATTGGGAGTTATACCTGATGTAAATGACGAGTTGATGGGTGCAGCACACCAACATGGCACAAGTATACATATGTAACAAACCTGCACGTTGTGCACATGTACCCTACAACTTAAAGTATAATAATAATAAATAAATTAAAAAAAAAAAAAAGTTCACCGTCACCAGGATAATTTCATATTCCTTACAGTAAACTAGGTCTCTCAACTACTCTTCAAGTCTGGTTGAAGAATTTTCATTCCTCAAGTTCAGATGAGGAGACCCAGGTATAGGAAAGTTAATAGATTTTTCTGACAACACATGGTCAGTGAATTAAAGAGCTATCAAGCACTCTCAACCAGGGGTGATTTTGAACCCTTCCCCTCAGGGAAGACTTGGAAATGTTTGGAGATATTTTTGGTTGTCACAACTTGGTGGGAGAGGATATGTACTACTACTGGCATCTACTGGGTAGAGGCCAGGGATGCTGCTAAACATCCTACAATGCACAGGACAGCCCCATGACAAAGAATTCCTAGCTCCAAATATCAATTGTGCAGAGGCTAAGAAACCCTGACTTAGACCCCAGTACAGTTCTTTTTTTTTTTCTTATAATTCCTATTCTGTTAGACTGGCTTAGGTTCTATACACAGCTTGGACTTTGCTAGTAAGACTTTTTCTTTTCTCTTAATTGTCTCAGGTTCTATACACAGCTTGGACTTTGCTAGTAAGGGGACCAACCAGACCCATTAACCAGTATAATGACATTGCCCTTCTTCAAGATCTTTTTCTGTCATCCACTGGGATACGGTCCTAATAACTATGCAAATCTACAGTGACTATGGGGTCCATGGCACCTCCCCTAGAGTTGTGAAATGCACTAATATGCCACTTGTACAACCTTAAGTGGAAGCTCTCTGTGGGTTGCTACGTAAGTTACTTAGACCCCTGGCCCTAAGTTTTCACTTCTGTAACATGGAGACAGTGATCTCTCTCTTGCCTGTTAAGAGGATTTGTATGTATGTGTGTGTGTATGTGTGTGTGTGTGTATCCCCTAGCACAAAGCCAGCTCATGGAAGGAGAGACATAAATTGTAGCTAATATTCCAGCATACTGTTTCATTTACACCTATCCAAGAATATTTTCTTCTTTTTGGCATAGGCAAGGGAGATTTGTTCAGCATTTGAATGGAAAGAATATCTGAAAATGATTCTAAAAGGGCAATAATGAGTTCAATTGGACATTTTGCTTTCTTCAATGCCTTCTTAATTACCTGAGACCCAATTTTCTCCTTCTCACATAGTACTTACGAAATGTCAGAGAAGTAACTGAAGTACCTTTAAACACAGAGCTCTGCTTTCCCCAAGCAATTAGGCAGATAATGCTTACAGCTTCTGTTATAACGGTAGTTGATAAAGGCTGGCATCCAAATGAGTAATAAAACTACTTAACAATTATGAGAATTATAGTATGCCCATCAAAGAGCTGTGTATGCTGAAATAAGGTGTCAGTGCCATATTATGAAAACTGAAGCCATCTGGGGCTTCACTAATTATAACTGCTATAGAGATAAATGGCTAAGTCAGGAGAGTTCCATTCTCACACCCATAAGGAGGGGGACAAGAAGAAATGCAGAATTGCCTGTCTGGATTAGAGTGAAAAAATTATATGTAACCACATTATTTATTTATTTAGTTATGTTTTATTATACTTTAAGTTCTAGGGTACATGTGCACAACGTGCAGGTTTGTTACATATGTATACATGTGCCATGTTGGTGTGCTGCACCCATTAACTCGTCATTTACATTAGGTATATCTCCTAATGTTATCCCTCCCCCCTCCCCCCACCCCACGACAGGCCCCGGTGTGTGATGTTCCCCTTCCTGTGTCCAAGTGTTCTTGTTATAACCACGTTCTTTGGGAAAGAAATTTGACAAACACAGAACTGAAGCCACAGTGCAGCTGAGCTTTGTTTAACAAGGATTTACAAAAAAGTTCCTGTGGTTAAGTAAGTTTGGAATGCCTCTGGCCCCCTGTTAATTTACAGTGCATATTAGCTTATTAAAGAGTCTAAAATCTCCTGAGGCATCCGAGGTCAGGGAGAGGTATAACTGCATGGTATCAAAGAGGGAAGGGGGTGTCTCTTGTTAAGGTGAAGATTAAATAGGTTGGCTATTAGTAAGCAACTTAAAATTGAAGCCAGCATCTCATTTCTCCAAGGGTGAAACAAACAAACAAAAAATCTTGAAATATATGAGTGTAACCAAAGAGAACCAGAACCCAAGACCTTAGATTTGGTGGGGCGGGGGCGGGGGGGGCACACTGGGGCCTGACTGGGGATCAGATCCAACAAGAACATTTCTAAAGAGTCTGTGGGACTATGTACAACCTGCTTTGAGCAGTTGATACCATGTGACATCAAGACACAATGGCAATGGTCAGCAGATGATACCTAGTTTCCTCCACACCTGGTTTGGAAGCAGGACTGACCCTCCCTTGCATTGAGCAAGTCCCTGTTTTTGGGGGAAGGTTTAAGAAAGGAAAAGATCCCTCAAAAGGGAGATACTCGACTTCTTGCTCTTAGTACAGATGGGAGCTCCTGGGACAAAGTGGAAGAATAAAGAGGTGACATCATATTTGGGCTTCAAGTTATAGCAGCAGGTAAATCAATTACAAGGATAACAATCTCCTCCCACCCCCATCATTCTACTTTTACATGGTTGCAAGCACTTCTGTAGTGCATTGTTTTTCTTCTTTACAAACGGAAGTCCAGTCTTGAGTAAAGCCTCATCATGGAAAATGACAGCCTCATTTGGAAGTATACTCGAAATTTATAAGGAGACTCATGGCCCATGCACTCTTAGGAACTGTCCCTCCAGAGAAGGCCCTGCATTAGTCTCTTCCTACAGAGACAGCTAGGTTGGAGAAGGGGAGATGTCATTACCTCCAGGCAAAATGTTTGGCCATTTTGGTGGTATGCCCTTTTAAAATAGGGGAGAGGAAGAGTCACAGTGTCTATGGCAGCAAAGGCGTCTTACCTCTTGCCCGTCTTTGCTGATGTTGTCATCGGCATGCCTGGCAACGATGGAGAGGAACTGTAGGAGGCGGTGGAGGGTGTCACAATTGCAGGGAGGTAGAAGGTATATGAGGAGCTGCAAGGTGCCCAGCTGTTCCTCTGGCTCCAATACTAAGCAAGGCAAAAAGAGGTACTCAAATAAAAGGGGAGCCCATACCATTCAGGCACAGAGGAAAGGCCTCTTCTCAATTGTCTTAAGAAAGGGATTATCAAGGCAAGTCCCATTTCATGCTTTCACTCATTTGCCCATTGCTTTAGCAATTTACCAGCAAGATTCTATGAAATATATAAAGCCAAATTAGACCTGGAGAAGTGTAATATCTAGAAAAATAACTGTAATCCAGGTTAAAATAAAAGGTAACTCAATTTCCCTTACTTTCTTCTCCCCTCTTCCCTGGCATTACTCATCACCTAGTTTAAGGATTCCAGTCTTCCATTTTTGGTAAATATTTATTAACAATGGCTGAAAATTGGTGAACATTCTGAAATTTGAGTTTATAATGAATTTAAGGCTCTTTTCTGTTGAGCAATTCACAAGAGACAGATATTTTGTTGGCAATAACCATGATACAGCAAAGACAATGTATTCTCTCTCTGTTGTGATCCTATTGGAATTGTAGCATTGGAGGAAGAAATGTATGGAGGCTGACCCAGGTTTGGCCTATCTCTCCTCTACCTCCTCCTTTTTTTTCTTCTTCATGGGATCTGTAGCTACAGCCCAGAAGCAGCTATGTTGAAAACCCTGGCACTGGGCTATGACATCTTGCTTCCCCTGGAATGTTGCTTTCCTCCTTTCTCACTCTGGGTTCCCATAGTTCCCTCCTTCTTCACGCTAGAAACACAAACTCATTTTTAGGCACAGACTCAATGTGAACTCTTGTTGGTACTCTAAGCACTAACTCATAGCACTTTCTACTTTTCTTGGGTCATTTGAAAGTATCTCAAATTCTTCTTGGTTATTTCCATTTGTTTTATTGCAACTTTCTTCTTGCTAATTATTCCCAGGGTAAATCTGAGAAATTCCCCCAAATAGCTCACTCTTTAGAGATTGATAAATAAGGACAAAAAATTATCAGGAAACATATGCATAAAGTTATGATGAATGAGTTGGACATCTTAGTATTCCAGGGCCACTTTCCCACATATGACTGTATTACGCACAGAGAGTGTTGATGAAAGCTGTGTACAGCTCCCTGGTGAGAAGGGGGTCCGGCATGTCCCTCAGGAACTCTTTGAGCAAGGCTGCCACATCATGAACACTGTGCTCCTCCTCCAGAGAGACATCAATCCCACGGTCAAATTCCTCACGTAACTGGAAAAACAACGGTTCGAGTGGCAGTCACGTAACACCATACCTCAATGTGCAGTGCCCAGCAAAAGAAGTGCTGTGACATGTAGTATCTGGAGTTAAGTCTGCACAGACCCCAAGAAGGAGAAGCAAACAACATCCTCACCTTGATCTGCTGAGTTTACACAGTCCAGTTACGAATATATATATATGTGTATATATATGTATATATGTATATATGTGTATATGTGTATATATGTGCATATATGTGTATATATGTGTATATATATATATGCACTAAATAAAACTATCTGTGGATTTATTGTTAATGATGTATGCAGAATGGCTTAGTAATGACAACCAGGTTAGGAGGAACACCTAAGAGGTGGAAGACAATTTAGGTCAACTATAAATGTGGGAGGGAGGAATTAATCTATTACACAGCGTTTCTGTGTGTCACCAATTCTGCCATGTTTGAATGTTGATATTTTACTGAATCACTCAACAAGAAAGCAGAGATTTTTTTTCCTGCACAAATGAAATTAAGAGCCCTGATAAGAGATTTATGACTAAGACTTAAAAGATGACAATAACTAAATAAAAGCTGTCTTAGATTTGTCAAAGTAGTCTTATTAACAATTACCAGAAGGATTTCCTGCCTTAATCATTATATTAGGTCTATTATCACTTACAGCAGCAAGAAAACACAGTAGCAAGAGAGTAATAACTCCACACCCTACTTTTATCTGTAGCATCTCAACTTTTCTTATGCATTGTTCTCTGCTGTAGAAATAATTATGTAAGTTCATAAAGCTACACTATGCAACAAACTTCTCTAAGAGTTCATTTGTTTTCAATCTTTCATCCATCCATTAATTCAACAAAGATTACTACACATTTCCTGTGTCAGACCCTGTTATAAGCCCACAAAATACACTAGTGAATAAAGAGGCAAATTCCCTCTAGAGAAACAAGGTGATAAGCAGGTAATCCCACAAATAATTCACTCTTAACATTGTGGTTAGTGATCTAAGGAAAAAGTGCAGGGTGCTAAGGGGTTATATAATAAAGTAAAATGATGAGTGAGTTAGGGCATATTTCATACTTGAAATCTACTTCTAAGTAAACACTGATTATATTTTTATTGGGTAATCCTTAAATACAACTCCATGCAAAGGTTTCCCCTTTAATGGATGCAGATATAACTGATGAGTAATTTCTGGCACTCACTACCTGTCCACCTGATGAGAATGAATACCCATCACTGTCCTGAACTACTCATTGATTCCAGACAACACGCCATCAGCATGTGTCAGGCAGCCAAAACAAAGAAGGCTTCCACTGGCACTCCTCCAACTTGTGATCATTCAAACACACCATGTTTCTTTTCCGACCATACATGCAGGCAGAAAGAATGGAACATGCAAAGAGCTTGGCCTATGAAGTTAATGGTGACTGGCTAAATTGTGTAATCTTGAATTATGTTTCTTAATCTCTCTAAGCCTTGACAGAAGTGGGTCAAAGAGGCTACTGTCACAGCTGGTTGGCAGATTCAATGAGATAATATTTGTAAAAATATTCTGCAATCCTGCACAGGTGAGAGGCCTATGAAATATTACCATACTATCTTCCTGCAAGTTCTGTTATGAAACATTAAATGTTGATCCATTTAATGTTGTTTCTTGTGTGACTATTAAGAATAAAAACCAACCAACCAATCAGAAAACATATTTCCATTGAAAGCCTTTTTTGTCTTGACAAAAAAAGATAGATGAAGTATTTATTTCAATTACTTTTAATAATATGAACAAATATCATTTCTTCAGCTTCTTCCCAACTAAAATTTGTTTTCATTTGAATTCATTTTTGAGTTGCTGAGTTCCTTATTTCCTTCCATTGAAAACAACAGGAAGAAAATAATGCTTTAATTTTCCTTCACCAACAAATGAACTCTTTTCTCAAAGGATGGTTTGCCTTTTATGAAGCCATCATGAACACAAATACCTGCCTCATCACAGGAACCTATTGTTGAAGGTCTAATATCAAACTTCAGTTGCAGGAATGTTGCACAGGGCTGAAGGAAACAAAGGAGCACAGTCCCTATGTGAAAAGCAAACTGGGGGTCAATGGTTCTATGGAAACTTCATAAGAATTATTTATTTTTGATAAAGTAAAGCTATAAACATAGCATCTTATGTGAAGGGAATGTTAATGGCATTTTTCATATCACATTTTAGTAAAAATGGGTGCTACATGCAATTTGTTATCATTTATTGATTGGTCACTCTGAATTTCCTGCTTTTGCAATTTTCAATAAGATGTTTATAAATTAGTTTTGTTTGGCTGCACATGGCACAGATACATCCAGACGTTTTGCTTTCAAGTGTTTGATCCTAACTGTAACAACATTTCTGAGTTGTTGCCTTTTACCTCCTGGAATTCAATTATATTATAATAACTTGGAGGGTAAAAAAAAAAAAGATGATCAAATGGAATTTGTATAAACTTGAACTTTGCAAAAGGTAATTCAACTGAAAGTCATGTGAAACAAAATATAATCTTTACTTTTCACTTACTTGTCTCACTCTCTTTTTTGAGCTTCCAACTCGGAATATCCCCACAGTCTGGAGGCCTGCAAATAAGCAAACAAAGTCAACAGTCTTGTTTTATGACTTGAGACTCTGGAGGAAATCAAAATAGAGAGCAGAATACCAGCACATAACATGCAGAGCAATAGTAACTTGACAGCATACAGTAACACTTCTTTCATCTCACACTATTTCTATTTTCCAGATACTTAAAGGTCAGCCCTTTACGCACCAGAATTTTACGTTAAATGTTTCTGATCAAATATTTTTCATGTGATATTTTATATTTCTAATCTTCTCCTTATCAGAGAAAATGAGCTTTTTTTCATTATTCAGAATTATTACCTAAACACACATTTTATAGGGATTCTAGCTCTTTACCAATTTCTAAAAGATATTTCTCGTTTGTCTGATAATAATTAAAGTGTGCTTCTTAAAGAAAATCTGGAAAATGCAGAAAAATGTAAAAATAATATACTTTTAGAAATACCTGATGCAGAAATAATCACTCTTACTTTTCTTTTTCTCCTCCCTTCCTCCCTCCCTCCCTCCCTCCCTCCCTCCCTCCCTCCCTTCCTTCCTTCCTTCCTTCCTTCCTTCCTTCCTTCCTTCCTTCCTTACATTTTACCTTCTATCACCTGTGTTGGCGGTGGCGCCACTTTATTCCTTCTTCTTTTTATTTTGAGAGAGAGGGTCTCACTTTGTTGTCAGGCTGGAATACAGTTTAGTATGATTATGGCTCACTGCAGCCTTGACCTCCTGGGCTCAGTGATTCTCCTACCTTGGTGGCACCAAGTGGCTAGTACTACCAGCACATGCCTCCATGCCTCCATGCCTGACTAATTTTTGTATTTTTTGGAGAGACAGGGTTTTGCCATGTTGCCCAGGCTCAAGCTCAACTCCTGGGCTGAAGTGATCCCACCTCTTGCAAACATCCCAAATTGCTGAATTACAGGTATGAGTCACACGTGCCTAGCTAATCTTTCATTTTTAAAATAGCCTTTTCTACATGAATGTAGGTATTTTTACATAGTTGAGATCATGCTGCATATATATATATATATATATATATATATATATATACTCTCTAAATATCTATTAACCAGAGAATATTCTCCCTTCCCTCACTATCATGTCACATGAATTTTCACTCATGCTAGTAACAATTCATGGAGATGTCACTTAAAAGGGATAAAGAACTACCACTTTGGTATAGTGTATGTGCTCAGGTGGTGGGTGCACAAAATCTCACAAACCACACTAAAGAACTTATAGGTAACCAACCAAATACCACCTGTTCCCCAAAATCTATGGAAATATAAAAAAAAGATGCAAAATATTCTATTACTGTGACAGGTATAATTTTACTCATATTCCCCTCTGAATGGTGCACAGAGTCCTAAATATACATGCTTATTTTTGCTATTATAATGGCTATTGTGAACAATTCTGTATTGCACGTATTTTGTTCACATTTCTGATTGCTGGTCATGTCCTAGATGTAAAAATAAGTGTCAGTGCGGGTTGAGAAACTCAGTTCTAAAAATTAGGTCCTCTTAAAAACACAAGTAATTTCTATAATATACTATAAATCAACAATAATTCCTTAATGCATTAAATTTCCAGTCAACATCCACATAAGGTCACACACTGTGATACAGTTGATGTGCCTTTTAGTCCTCTTAATCTGTGTTTCCTCCTGTGTTTCCTTTTCTTTATAATTGGTTTGCAGTGAAGAAATCTCAGCTATTTCCCCTGTGAATCTTCATATTGTTTGGTTAGACCTCCATGTGGTGTCATTTGTATGTTCTTCTCTCACCTTTATTTTCTGTAAAAATGGCCAGAGAGCCAGAGATTACTCTCTGATTGCCGTTGTGATTTTATAGGGCAAGAATACTTCACCAAAAGTATTGTGTGCTTCCTTGGGAGCATGAAATATCTGAATGGTTCTCCTTTTTCTATGCCGGTCATTAATTGTGCCATTGATGAGCATCGTGTATTCTTTCTGGTGGCTCATTTCTCTTCATTTGGGACAATCAATTATGAAGTGATGGGATATTGGAGCTGCTAACAGCCATTTGGAAGCCACATGAAGAAGAGCTGGTCTGAGAGTAAGCCAGCAGAGACACTCATGACATCATTTGAATCCTGGATCCAGCTTGCCTAAATCTAGATCAGTCTCCCAGTATATAAAGATTATTTGTTGTTATTTGAGAAGTGCTTTCCTTGTCTAGTTTTTATCTATGGTTTCACTTTTCTTGCCACCGAAAAATTTATGGCTAATTGCAATATATAATTAAATCAGAAAGAATTGTATATTTTTAGATACAGAATTGGGGTCTTGCTATAATACCTGGCTGGTCTCAAACTCCCAGGCTCAAGTGATCTTCTTGCCTTGGCCTCCCAAAGTGTTGGGATTACAGGCAGGCCTGTGACCAGCCTTAGAAATCTTCTTAACAGTATTTCTTTACATCCAGAAACAAAGTAAACATCTCAATTTCTTTTAGTTGTGTTTCTATCTCTTGAGTGAAAGAGAATAAGTGATCTCCACCTGTGTGAAAATATCCCTTATATAACTTGATATCATGCTGTAGAAATTTCAATTATTCAGAAACCATGTGAAAATAAAAAAATACATGCAGCCAAAATTAAAATTACTGTGACCTGCTATTAAAGTTTTCTATTTCATACATAACAGAAGATTCATTCGGTTCATTCAAGAGTCTATTTCTCTCTGCTATGTAATAATATATGCGGGCACTGTTCTAAGTGCTGCGTGCACATTGTATTATTGAATAATTGCACAACTTTTGAGGTGATTACTTATGTTCATTTTGCAGATGAAGAAATATAATTCCTGTATTTTTATTTAAATAATTAATACAAATTATCCTGTTTCAACCTCCCAAAGTAATCAGAAGCAATAAATTAAGCAATTCCATTATTGACTGCAACATCACTCAGAGTGTACATACACAATCCTAGAGATGGTATAGCCTACTACACCCTAGGCTATATGAAGTGAAACCTAGTGCTCCTACACCTACTAACCTGTATAGCATGTGACGATGCTGCAGATACTATAGGCAACTGTAACAAAATCTTGAGTATTGTGTATCTAAATATAGAAAAATTACAGTAAAAATACAGTATTATAACCTTATGCAATCCCCATTGCCTATGCAGTCCATCATTGAGGGAAATGTCATTATGTGGTGCATGACTGTGTGTATGTGTTTGTGTGTAGAGAAAGAAAGCAGTACATTCAAGATCACATAGAGTAATACAGGCATGTGAAAGATAAAGATAAAAAAACATAAAAGAACCTACACTTAAAATTTGGTATAAACAAATTTGTTAGGTCATCCACTTATGTTATCCTGTGATTTCCTTTATAATGAATTAAAGAAGTGGAGATATATCGCTAACAAATTTTAAATAAAAGTTCCATTTTATTGAGAAGGAAACAGATGAGAATGTTAATAGTAGATTTATGTCTGTGTGGTAGCCTCCAGAATTTTCTTTGCTTCACATTTACTTTATTATTGAGCATATTATTTTTATAGTAAAAAAGTAACTAAACTTTCCCATGTACATAACAGTATGCTAACTTACTACAGCAAACAAATTTAGTTTGTAAGAAATGGCAGTTTAATAAGCCAGAAAGTCTAAATTTCAAGAAAAATTTTTAAAGAACTGTATATCATTCTAAGTCAGCTTGTGCTAAATTTGAGTTGCAAAAGGGTGACTTGGAGAAATTTTAAGTGGACAGCTTCCACAAAAATGCAAATGGCAATATATAAACCTGTTTAACAAAAATGATTTATTTTCTATTAAAAAAAAAACTGAGGGAATCATCACTTAAGTTGAACTCTTACTTTCTAAAGGAACCCTTGTGAGTAACCTCCCAGGCTACTTTGTGTATAAACAATAAAAGTGGCTCTGGTCTGTTTGAAAAGAGGTTCTAGTGACAAACCCGGCTCCCCCAACTTGAGGCCTGATCCTTCACTAAAATTGCTTCGCCTCAAAGTCACTTTTGAGGACTACTGGGGCAAGCGATCTGAATATCATCAGGGTTGATTCCCCCTCTCCTCCAATCTTGTTTAGCCCACAATCTCTTAGCAAACACTCATCTGTATACTTTCACACAGGAAATTTCCAGTTCAAGAGCTTGATCAGATGAACACAGAATTGACATTGGGTACTTCAATGAATGATGCTTGAATAAATGAAAGTCCTTAGTACTTTAGACAGACAAGTCTACTTATGTTTTTCTAGATGCTGACAGCATGTCCACCCAGCCTAGGGACCTGTCTGCGTGGGATTCAGGCCCATGAGGTTTCATATCTCTGGCTTTTTCTTTTTTACTTTGAGCCTCAGCAGGCAAGAAAGTTGTAAAGCTTCTAAAGTAGTCGAGACCAAGGTGTCATCCAAGATCCGTGATCAAGATCCACTGACATGGCACCTGCAAGTGAGCTAAGAACTGTGAACATAAAGTACAGATAGCTCAAAAAAAACTCCAGCTGCCCCCAGATGCTAACCTATTTATCTTTGCTCATGACTCTTTATCACACTTGAAATAATATTTAGCGGATTTCTTTAATTGTTCTGTTTGTATATTGAAAGAAAAAATATGCCTTTTGAAAAAAGTGAGAAACCTCTACAAAGGTTTCCTCAAGAAGCTAATAATGGCAGTTACAATTTCAACAATAGACAAATTTTTAAATGGAGAGAACAAGCGATGGAAACATATAATTAAAGTATTTTGCTTCCCAACCACTTCATTTCTTGGAAACAAGAAAAAATTACATACTCAATGAATGAGGTAGTCAGAGAAGTTTTGTAAATAAAAACTCAACTATGGATTCAGAAGTAGATTTTTAAATATAATAGATTCCATAAAACAGCCTGAGCTTAGTTTTCTGAGAAACAGCACAAAGTGCTTTATTAGAAGTGGTCTAGGAAACACCTATAGGGGGAGAGAGAGAAATAGAACCAAGGAAGGAAAAGGCAGCTGACGAAGGGAGCATTATCAAGTCTATTA